AGTTGATTAAAAAGAAAGGTTTGTGCTAATGTTGTTTGGACAATTAACTGCCTATATCTTGTACTCTGAGAAACTAATTTAAAGGTAATTATATGCAATTTATTAACCATTGTTACTCTATTATCTTGTCTTGAAATTCTGTGGGGTTTTTTCTCTTTAAAATAAAAGTTTTATAAAAGAAAATAGGGCCAGAGAGATAGCTCAGTGGCATAAGCACCTGCCTGGCAAACACAAGGTCCCGACGTCAATCTCTGGTACCAAAATAAATAAATAAAATAAGTGAATGAATGAATATAATGGTGGCTTCTTTTTTCAGGGCTGAGACCCAAACCCTGAGCCTTGGACACACTAAGCACTGGCTCTGCACCAAGCTACGCCTCTGGTAGATGTTCTTTTTTTCTTACAAGACCAGTGCTGTGCATAGGACGTGGCTCACCAGTAGCACTGTGCTTGACAGGCACGAGGCCCTGGGTTTGCTCCCCAGTACCAAAATATAATTTTTTTTAAAAAAGACTTGAGTTAATAGTCATTGCATCGGGCTGGAGAGAAGGCTCAGTGGTCTAAAGCACCTACTTGGAACAAGCTTGGCAAAGCACAGGGAACGCGGTTCAATCCCCCAGCACCACATGCCAGCCAGCCCCGCCCCCTGGTGGGCTGAGCTGGCCACACACACACATGCACACACACACACAAATAAATAAATGTTAAAAAAAAAAAAATAGTCATTGCATCTTCCAAAGCAAACAAAACCTGCAAGAAAAAAGAGGCAACTGTTGCAAAGAAAGACACAACTAGTCAGGTGCTATGGCCTCAGTCAGCAGGAAGGAACACAGGAGGCTCCCCTGGGGAAGGACGGACACCTGGGCTCTGACTGCTCCAGACACTGCCGCCTCAGGCCAAGAACGCAGGGACCCACCGTGACCTCTCTGCTGTACAGACGCACAAACAGAACAAGAAGACCAGCAGCCCCCAGCACTATGCATTAAGAGGACATCCCTCGGCCAAGCGGCAACACTGTCTCCTCCCCAATGTGATTGTACCCATTTGGCAGGTAGAAAAACTGAGGCCCAGAGAAGGGAGTGGGCTGCCCAAGCTTCACTCTGAGCCAAGAGTGAATGAAGCAGGAGGGAATTAGAGGCTGGGACTGAGGTCCCAGTTCTGCTCAGTGACAAGAGCCACTGGCCTAGCTGGGCTGGCACCTCTCCCTGTGGGCTGCCAGTCCCTAAAGACTTGTCCGTGGGGAGATATGTCCCCAGAGCCCCATGCTGGGCAGTGGGCACAGACACCGAGGTCAGATCCCCAGTGCCCACCCATTGTGTTAGTGGCCACAGGGCTGTGCACTGAGACTGCGGCTGATGCGTTTGGACATTTCTGCAGCTCCCAGGGGCAGCAGGCGGGAGCTGGTGCTTCCTGCCACTTCGCCCGGCTGGCCAAGGAGGCAGTTTTCTCCAGAGCTTGAGGCTTTGCTCTTAGTTCCAAAAAAACAGCCACAGGCCTTACATAAGCGCCCAGGCACCTTGGCCAGCCACGTGTCACCCACCCGGGCGGAACAACATCCTCCCTGTGTGGCTCCCACCACAGTGGGTCACTCTGACCAAGCAACCTCCTCCGTCCCCAGGGAAGCAGCCACCTTCCCAGCCCTTTGCTCACTCCCTGCCCTGCTGGTCCAGCCCCTGAGCCAAAAACACATTCCCTGATCACTTACTAGGAGCGGGCACTGGGGCGACGCTGTGAACAAGCCAGAACAGGACCAGCCCCAGGTTGACCAGAGGAAGGGCCACCGCTGCGTTCTTCCGGGTTTCCATCGCTCTCACTTGTCTCTACAGCTCTATGACTCAGTGTCCACCACCCCAATCTGTTATAGGGCAGGAACGGAGGTGGTGGCCCTTGGAACACACCAGGTGCTCAATAAATGTTTGGTGGGTAGCTGAACAGAAAGGGTTGGGAAGTAAATAAACAAGGGAGAAAAGTAGAAAGGACAGACACAATCTTGCCTTTTCTAAAGAAAGGGATGTTTCAGGGACAGACAATAAGAATCGGAGGCACCGCCCACCCTGTGACCTGCTGGAAGGGCACGTGGTGGGGAACAGCAGCAACAAAAGCTGGAGGCTGGACCAGCTCAGGGCAGCTAAGGACAGAAACAAAACCCGGGTAGCCGAGCCTAGAGCAGGCAAGGGAGCAGGCAGTGGGCCGGAGGAGCCCCTGAAGGACCTCAAGTGCACTGGAGGCAGCAAGAGCCTTGTCCTGGACCTCTCCGGGGCTGCGGATGCTGCAGGGGGTCGGTGGGGTGGGGCAGCCCCATCCAGTCCTGCGGAAACCCGGATGCTGGGAACGCTGCTGGCCTTCTGAGGGCACACAGACCCCTCTGCTCACTCTGGGCACCACAGCCTGGTGTGTTCACTTGCTTTTGCCTCTCTTGCCCCTATTTGAACATGCCATGCTCGGCACTCCAGAAGGCTGAGGCAGGGGGATTACAAATTCAAGCCCAATCTGGACAATTCAGCAACTTAGTGAGACCCTGTCTTAAAATAAAAAATCAAAATGGTTGTAGAGAGATCCTGGGTTCAATAACCAGTGCCAGAAACAAACGCACACTGGGTTGCTGAACGCTGTCTTTGCCACTCTCCCTCCCTGTGGGGGAGGACTTGGACGCCTTCACACTGCAGCCACAACCCCCCATAACAGCCCTTGGTGGCCACCCAGGCTCCACCCTCTGACCCATTCTCCGCTCCACAGCCCCCAGGTCCAGCGCAGAGCTCCCCCCACCACTGCCAGTGCTGCAGCTCCCGGGCCCCCTGCCTTTACGCAGGGCTGGAAACCCAGGAGGGCTGGCAGCCAGGCTCTAGGTGCTGACCAGCAGCAGCAGGAGCCTCACAGAGGCCAGAGGACCCCCGTCAGGCGACAGTGCTGGTGGCTCACACCAGGCCCCAGTCTGAGCTGCCACCACATCCCAAGAGTCCTCCCTCTTTTTGCTTTTGGTGGATTTGTTTGTTTGGGTGTGGTGTGGTTTGGCTTTGCTTTTTCAGGCAAGGTTTTATCATGAAGCACAGGCTGGGCTCAAACTTGGAATCCTCCTGCCTCAGCCTCCCAAGTGCTGGAAATACAGGCGTGCACCACCACATCCAGCTTCTCCCTCTTGACATTCCCGGGGCCTAACCTTGACATGGGCCTTCCAAGAAGGGGTGGGGTAGATGCCCACTGTGTCTGGACTCCTTACCGTTCTGACTCCACCGGCCTCTTGGACCCTCAGTTTTTCTCTCTGTAATGGTTAGCCCCCCACCCCCACCTGCTCCAGCAGGCCTTTGGGAAGGAGCAACATGAGGTGAATAGAACACACTCTGGGACCCGTGAAGGCAGGTGCCTGCACATGCACGAGGACAATGTGCCATCACCAGGGCCTGCTACCCAGATGTCTTTCTACCAGCACCACCATCATCACTGCCATCACCATTGTCATCACCACCACCACCATCACCACCACCATCACCACCGCCATCACCACTGCCATCACCACTGCCATCACCACTGCCATCTCCACCCCACCATCACTACCATTGCCATCAACATCAACATCACCGTCACCGCCACCATCACTACCATCATCATCATCATAACCACCACCACCATCACCGCCACTATCACCACCCCACCATCACTACCATCACCATCAACATCACCACCACCACCATCACTACCACCATCACCACCATCACCACCCCATCATCACCACCATCAACATCACCACCACCACCATCACCAGCATCATCATCAACATCACCACCACCACCATCACCACCACTACCATCATC